GGCTCTGGCTCACGAGGTTTCTCGAAATTAATGGAAATTGTTGGTTTTACAATCTTTTTCCGTGAGCCAATCGCGGAAAGTGTTGGCTCTACCAGCAATTTCCATGACTTTCCAAACTATGGCTCTTCTTGCCTTTGGGGGGAGCCCACAAAAACTGCTAATGCTCACAATGCTTACCCACGCCGCTTCCAACGACCCACTGGCGCTCATGATACTCGTCCGACATTTGCAATGAGCACATCTTATGTACTGATGCGATGTGTGCTTGCGAAATGGGCAAGTATTCGCATCCTTGATTACATTCCGTAGTTTGTCCAATACGAAACTAGGAAATAATCTCTGCTTCAAGACGTTACTGTGCGAATACCAGTTTAGTAGCTTTTTGTTTATCACGGACAGAGCTATAGGAAGACTATTGCTGTACGAACATGCCTATGATGATTTCATCACACAGTTTTTAAGATACATGTATAAGGTATTTACTTATGTCATATCTTTCTTGGTGTTTGCATCGGGGGTTTATGCATTTTTGGTGTGGCTTTATTTGCTTGAAAAAAGCCTTTTCTCAAAAGACTAACATTTGCACCAGAATTCTGTCATACATCATTGTCAAATGGTCATCATTTGGTAGGTGCAAAAAAAGCGAAACATCTTTTGCAAAAGTCTACGAATCCTAGCCCGACCAACAAATGCACCGGACTTGTATTACGCACACACTTAAGATGAACTAAACTCAGCAGACGAAACATGTCGAAATGAATTGGACCTTAAGAAAATCGAGCAACGCGGAACATAAAACCTACACTGTAATGCGCAGCCACAACATGTTGTATTATGTTGACCTGCAGCACTACCTGTAACAGCCCGTTTTCAACAGTTTACAAACAAGCAAACGTGTTTCTTGCTTAACCATCATCCTACCAAGAGGTCTCATAAGCAAAGGTGTGAATATTCAACAGATATCGAATGGTAGGTTTATACTTATCAAAACGTATAAACACAGGACTCAGCAAGTAGTATATTTTCTTTGTATATAACGCGTGGCTATTATTTTATAGAGTTGCTGAAAATTACACGAAGTACTCTGTATGAAAAATCACAACAGTAGTTGACACAGTGAATCTTGATTCAGAAATGATTTAAAAACCTGCAAAGTCGGGATTTCCTTGTATTTCCCACCTTACTTGGGGCCCTTGCAGACTACGCACAGGTTCCGCTCCGACAAAACCTTCCTACTGCCTTTTTTTATTAGAAACCTACCTAATTACCTGCATATTTGCCTACTGCTCTTAAATAGGACCGAATATTTAAGCCGCCCCTGGGTTCTTGGCACATTTCTGCGACAGCGGCTTCACACAGACGCCTTGCTTCGCTTCCGACACTGTGGGGGTAGTACCTGGGGCCCTTCTTCATGGCTGTAGTCTTGCCACGTCTCGCAACACACCTGCATCTTGCGCCATCCGACAGCTTGCAACAGTCGTCTCCGTAGAGCCCCAAGCTCCCCAAGCATGTCCGTTGCAGGAGCTTCCTTGTGTCGTCCATGGTTGGCATCTCGAATGGGGTCCGTGCTGCGCCAATAAAGCCACTGGTAAAAGTAGGCCATTTCACGCAGCACTGCCAAGTTCGCGGAGGGCACCGCCCTGCGGCTCACATGCTTGCGAACCAACGCCCAGAAGCCGTCCTTCTTCTGCGTGCCCCCCTTGCGCCACACCCATTCGCCATTCAGGAGCTGAACCTTTTTCCGTACCATAAACTTCACTGGTTGCATCACACCTTGACTATTGCGTTTGCGAGAATGCCGCACTTGGGTCACACACAAACCCAGGTGCTCGTACAAAGGGTTCTTGTTCAACCTGTGCAGCTGCATATACGTGCTAGCGGTGTCGGTGCAGAACGGAGCCAGGGGCAATGAGTGGTCGAGTCTTGAAGCCGAAAGAATCGCCTCGCTTCATCATGTGATGGTGCCATTCCTCTGTACCCAGCTTGCCACCACCCCCTTTCTTTGCACTTGTCACTCGAGTGTCAAACTCACCCCAGTAGTAAAGGGGACTGCCACGCCTTACAACGCCGACGAAGCAGGTCCACTGGATCTTGGGCTTGTCGCCATCTCCCGTGATGGCATTGCGGAAGCTGACCTCATCAGCTTCCACATCTTCATCAAGACCTCCCACTTGAAGGACCAGGTTGGCCCGAACCATCCACCACGAGACTAGTTTGCGCGCCTTTCCGACCAAGCTGTTTACACAATGCTCATCCATACTCGCATCGAAGGCAAGCTTCTCGATGCCAGGTTGGTTGTGATGAATGAGCATGTAGAGCACAAGGATTTGCTTGCTGAGAGGAACCCGCGGTAAGAACAGGTCCGTTTCACGAGCGGTCACTGATTCCATATAACGGCATGATTTCGGGCACTGATAAGACAACCCCTGCCCTGTCCTGCTGACCGCAGTCTTCCATGTCGCTGCCGTTTGGCATTTCGGACAAAGATATGGACGAATACCAGGGTCGCGTCCATCAGAGAGCAAGCCAACTTCAACGCACCATTCAAAAGCCGTCTGCTCGGCTTCAGGACCATGTAGTAGCTCGTACAAACTCTTGCCACGCTTGCTTTTGCTTTGCTTTCCTTGATGTCTACGCTTTCCCCGATTGTCACGGTCGGGGCTGCGCTGCTGTGCACGAGTGTATGGTATGTCATTGTAGACTGGAATGTCTGGGGCATGTGCCATAAACTCGTCTATTGCAGCATTGCCATCACCCATCTCCGTGTCGCTGGTTTGGCCACCATGTTGCCTCCTCTTGCCCTTCTTCGCCCCCTTCCACAAGTGCAGTCTAACTAAGCGCCTTTTGCCGATACCAGCACAAGCGGCATCTTGCCGACGCCCCGTATCAAGAGACGTCCCTCTTGATGATTTCCCCATGATGTCAAGCTACACTACGGCATGATTATAGCCACATTTCTCATGATGTTGTTGCACTGCTCCGTGAACACATTCTTGAAGATGATGATTTGAAGAGGATGATGATGACGATGATGATGATGATGTGTGATATGTTGCGATGCTGATTATTTAGTATGGTCGAACCACTGGGCCTGCAGCCGCATGCTTGCGAGCTTAGTTCAATCCGATCAAACTCCAACCCCTGAAATCCAAACAACTTAACAATGACGCGGCACTTAAGACTTACCAAACTCACATATGTCGGGCGCGGGGCCTACATATTTCAGCCTAACCACCTGATCTTATGGTAAACACCCGATTCCGGTAAAAAATCGCTTCTAAACACAAAAAACCTCTGTTTTTTGTTTAAAACCAAGGTACGTCTTAAATCCCGCGCCCGGCTAAACCTACACGTATCAAACCGGGTCACGAACTGCTACCATTGTTACTAATGACTGCGAATTTCACAGATACGCATGAATCATTGTGCAGCCGTGCGAAGACTAAAGATTGCACACACTACCGATTTTCTGTATATGATTACTTTAAGCAATGAACTAAATTCGTGCTCCAGACTGCAAAACCCACCAACAACACTCACACGGTTGTGTATAAACACGTGGACGTTCAATGAACATGTGTGTCTAAAAACTACAACGGCAGCCAACTATATATAGTCACAGCCCACCTTGATACGAAATTTGCGTGAGTGGCCACGAGGATGCTACCGTAAGATCCCATGCCGTGCAAAGCTGTGTTTTCGCGAGCTTCAGAAGGCCTGCTTCGCCATACTACTGTTTGACGGCTCCTCGCGACCACCGGCATCGTTGACAGAACAGTTATTCCTATGCCATTCCTTGCTTATTTTTGTGTGCGCATGCACTCGCAGCCACTTCTGTCCGATTCTTCCGTGCTTGCTCATGATGCTCACTCACACATAAACGTTGCTTTCGGCAGAGACTTTTGCCACAACATCCATCAGTCATGGCTGACTCATGTTTGCGAAATGCCCCTTCCATCGGCCCACTTAAGCAAAGCATCAGCATGAAGACGAAAACCCAGGTACCGGAGGGGGGTAGCATATATATATATATATGTATATGTATATGTATATATGTATATGTATATATGTATATATGTATATATGCATACACATATACAGGTATATATATACACACACATACATACATACATACATACATACGTACGTACATACATACATACATACGTACATACCTACCTACCTACCTACCTACCTACCTACCTACCTACCTACCTACCTACCTACATACATACATACATACATACATACATACATGTACACACATGTGTACCGAGGTGTATCTCTTCAAGTGCTTGCTTGCTTAATTGAATAAATATCGCATGCAGTAGCGCGCCGAAGATCAAGGTCGGGAGGAGGAGATGCAGAAATACATACATATATCTCTGCGAACAAAATGTGTACATACAATACACTGGCTATATCATACGTCAGACAAGACAAACTTATGTGCAACGACAGCATGGCAACAACAGAATACAATGAATCATCATGCACGTGCTGTTATGTTGTCCACGTCTTCAATGCAGTGCTTTTCTTGCTTCCCCTGATTCCTGTTTCTGACGATTTGAAGCAAGCTACCAGCAACAAGTTAAATTGCAGAAAGCCACGAGCAGAGCGGAAAGCAGAAAGAAGGACGCAGAAGGTAAGAAGATGTAAGAAGCAAAAGGCATGAGCACAAGCAACGCACATAGACACCCCCACTAGGTCCAACAGATACAGCTTCAAGCACAGCTCGAACTCCCAGGCGTCCTGGATGCCAACAGCCTCGCACGTACGGAGGATCATCTGCTGGTTGGCAGAGTTTCGAACTCCCTGGCAAGCATATGATGCAAGTGTCAATGCCAAAATCATCAGCGGCCCGACGAATCGGCAGCTCCGTGAGCAGGTGCACACAGACGCATGCACTCATTTTTTTCGAGATGGCATGTCTACAGTAAGCGATGCAGCAGCACAATTGACATACGGTTTGCACAACTTGTGTTGTCACTCATGGTCGTAGGAGCATCTGACGCAGGATTCGAGTCGCCAGCTCACTTTAGGCGGTCGGCGTACTCTTGTGCGGCATCTCGACCGCCTCAAATCACTGCTTGACAAAACATGACAAAACTGCCCGAGCTGGTTTTGTCGGATGCCCTGAAGAACATCTTCGTGCCAGAAGTTTCTGTGGACCTACAGCAACGTGACAAGCACTCACATGAGCCGAGCCGGTTGTTCGTGTTCGCTAATCCTAACCTGGCGTCTTTGTCCAGCTGGTTGGATCTAGCCGCTCAGTATGTATCCTTCCCACAACTCGTGTCTCCTCAGCCGGGGCTGAATCAAAAGGCTCTTGTCCCATTCCTTCTTGGTCCGCCCAGGTAGCGTTGGAAGGAAGAAATCCCGGAATTCGGTGATGTGCACTCCTGAAACCTTCAAAATGGCTTAGCGGATGAAGCTCTCCAGCATGTAACTCCGGATAACTGCCAAGACCAGAAGCTCCTGAAACCCTAAACCTAAACCCTAAAGGTCCTAAAGCCGTAAAGCCCTTCAACCCTCAAGTGTTAACGTGTGTGGCGGATGTGCTGTATTCACTCTTTGGCCTACGACTTGGCAGTGCGGCCTTCCTTTGGTCACAGGTCTAAGAGCATGCGGGCAGGATCCTCCCAGACAAGGACAGATGCGTGCAGTTGTGACAGTCACCATCCACCCAAGCAAGTCCTGAAGTTTGTCCCGGACGTTGCAGAGGAAGGTGACGGCCTCGCGGCCGTCTACCAGCCGGTGGTCGTAGGTCAAGGAAGTGAACCTGGCATGGAATGGTAGACACAGTGAGCGCACAAAAGGGGAAATGGAACACTTGGCCGGGCAGGCATGATTGGACGAGCTTCCACTTTGCCCTCAACTACCGTCACGCGTCTCTTGACCGCATTGGTTCCTGGCACGACGCTAATTCTATGGAAATGTCCAACGACGACTTGACCTGAGCTTGCCACCCATCGATGCGCTCTGCGGGAAGTTTCTGCGGACACATACTCAGCAAATATATTCTCAAAGCTCCACGAAAACGGACACCAAGCCCTGAGGGGGCGCACATGATTCCAGTACCAAGCATTCCCCCAGCGATGCCGGCATCCACGATGCCGAAAGTCGACTGGCTAAGATCTTCCACGCAAAGCTCGTCCCGTGCGGCTCGATCTGTTAGCCTGTGTGCCCGGGCATGGTCGGGCCACACATCTTAACGAACCAACCGCTGCGACGCTGGCTTTGCAGGTGCAAACGTGTCTCCGGGACCCTGCGATCTCGTGCTCCATGTCGCGGATGGACATGGACTGGGCATCCCTCAATGTGCAGGCAATAATGCCCCGCGGACTGGGGATGGGAATGCTGATGTCCACCTCGGAGATGTTGCACACCAGATGCCACAAACACGGTTAGGCAAACTCGGGCGGAAGCGTAGTCTCTCCAAACGGTCTCCTTCGTCCTGAAGGTTCAAGAGCTCATAAGTCTTTTTGCAGGGGGGAGCCTTGAGACCAGTCACATCACAGCCTTCGAGGAAATGCCGTGAAATCCCAGCAGACACTTGCTCAAAAAACAACGACGTTCGAACATCTTCGGCTGAAGGTGAGGCAGACTCTGGCTCTCGCACGGATGGCTTGGCACCAACAGTAAACACCACGCCAAGACAGCGCCGCGCTGACTGCAGTTTTGCTTGCGATCCAACACGGATCGCAAGATGACGCGGAGGGGAGGTCGCAGCGCGCATGGTGTGCAAAACATGCTGCGAGTATCAACAACAACACCACGCGGCTGTAAGAGGAGCAAACGACAATCAGTAACACTTTCAAATGGTTCCGAATCATGCCAGTCATTCGCATGAGCATTTGCGGCAGCGGTCCCATCATCAATAATCGCATTGACGCCGGGGACCTGCAGCAACGATTGCAACGACTGGCCGCATGCTGTCAAACTGGCGATAAACATCGTACTGTGGCCTCATTGATCGTCAGGCAGCTGGCCTTGCAATGTCAGCAGAGCTTCGTAGCGGATCGGCGCAT